GCATGTCCTGTAAGGGTGGATGTGGCACCTATATGCATTATATCTGTGTGTTATCACAAGACAACACAGTGGTCTGTGTATTTTTGCAATCTTCAACTCAAACTGAAAGAACAGTTACATCAGTATCTATTGATTATGCATCATTCTAACTCATTGTGAAAATCAGAGGAAGCGAGATTTATTGCAAAATGACAGTTACAAACAAATGCGGCCATCTTGGCTGCCTCAGCAAACTCCAGTAACAACACATCTCAGCTGGCTTGCAGGCCTGCTAGTCATTATTAACAAATCAATAAATACATTTGTTAAGGATTAATAGCCTCGCAACTGTGAGGCAATCCTGCTGTGCAATCCTGCAACTGTTTTCAATTCTGCAAGCATCCTCCTGTATTCAGAACATGAACTTGGCCTCTGGCATGCTTTGCTGGCTACTACTGCTTCAGCATTCATTCTTAAAGCTGAGAGAGGTGTAAAGGCATTCTACATATTTGATACTTTTTGTCTGTACAATAGGTGTAGTAGTACAGAGACAATGGGCAGACCCACATTGTAGTGCTGTATTTACAGTGTAGATGAGACTGCGGAGGAGCTCAGCTGGCCTGCAAGAGTGAGCTGTTCTCTTTTTCACTTGACTGACCATGGCCTGCCCGTGGACTCAGCTCCTCCGTGTCTATCGCTCCCTTTCTCTCGCTCTATCTCTTTTTTCTCTTTATCTCTCTCTCTCGCTCTGCTTTCACCATCTGCCTTTATGCCTGAACTGGCTACATATCTCCTAACTGCCTCTCAGGAGATAGCTGAGGGGTGGTGGGAGAGAGGGAAAACGGACATAGTGGGAAATAGTAGATACGCAAGAGGAAAAAGAAGAAGAGTACAAGAAAAAGGAAACTTGAGGAAAAAATAATAGAGAGAGAGAGGGAGAGAGTAAGGGGGATGCCATTATGTTTCAGAGCCAGTGTCAGCATTGAAAATCTCATTTGGTATCTGAATCATCACCATTTCTGTGGAATTGGCTTAAACTTTAGTTTTGTGATAATGTGCATTCCCATGATAATAGCACAGACATGCATGTGTGCTCAAAGGGAATAGTCACACAGTACGCATGGTTCAGGGATGATAACTGAAAACATAACACAGCATTTTAAACGCATGGTTCTGTCTTCACATAATTTTCAAGTGCAGGTTCCCTTTTTCTGTGTGGACTTGCTTATTCAAGCTCCTTGCATTAGGCTGCGCCTTTTAGATCAGAGTTAAAGGTAATCACCTTTAATGAAGTAAGAGAAATGATAAAGGGGGTTTCCAGTGGTGTAGGATTTCATTCTCTGCTGCTTTCTTACTTTTCATGGAAAAAAAAATATATAATGCAATCTTAATCAATGAATAGTCCAGCAATAACATAATAAAGCTGTTTTTGTGGGTGCAGTAAAAGTGTGACCACATATTGTATGTATCCATCTAAATGCCTAACACTACTCAGAATGTGGCCTGGAGAGTGATTCAAATCAGTTGTTCTATTCTTAGAGGCTTAATGTACACAGATCTTATTTTACTTATCTGTGTACATCATCACAGAGCAGTGTTTAATATTGTCTTCTGTTACAGTGCACTGCATTTGTTGCGGGTTATGACTCATCTTTCTGTGTGAAGCATGTACTGTATTACCCTGAAAGCCTGACAGACTGATCCCAAGGGGCAACTCTGGTACATGCATGCCTGTGTGTGTGTGTGTGTGTGTGTGTGTGTGTACACACATCTACGTGCGCCCACTGTTGATTTACTCATTGACCATTGCTCCCCCTGCTGTCTCCTGTGAGCCTTTATGCTGGGAGGAATCAATAACCTTCTACCTTGCCTTGCCTTTCCACCGTGGCTCTACCAGAACAGCACTCTGTAGCGCTCCATCAGCTCAAATGCTAGTGCACGTTGCACTGAATGCACTTGCAAATTCACATGCACACTGAAGGTTGGTTTTTTTAACTCTAAGTTAAAATGCAAAAATCTGCAAAATTAAATATCAGAAGTATTCTAACAGAGAAAAGTGCTGTAAAAACAGCTGAAACACACAGATACACACACAGATACACACACACACACACACACACACACACACACACACACACACACACACACACACACACACACACATTCAAGCTCCCTCTATCTCGCTCTCTCCCTGACATTAGCTGAACAGAGTCCATTACTGCCAGGTAATGGGTGAATGTCACAATAGCAGGATGTCATAAAGCTCTGGAGTGGTCTAATGGGTTTTGTTCAGGTTGAGGTGACACATGCACACTCGTTCATGCACACATACAGACATGTGCTCTTCCAGGAAACTATCTTCCTTTGTGCTTGATGCACATTTACTCATCACATCACAGCCCTGAGCCCTGACATGTTTGAAGAGCTAATACAATCTGTTTAAGGAAGCAGATTATGAGAATCACCTGTCACTTTGTTTGAATACACAGGGGTGGTCCTGCTCTTGTTACCTTTTATGTTCCCCCTTTACACTGCCCACTTATCTTTATCTTCTTCTACAAAGATTAAGCTCTACCCCTGGCACAGATATGGATGTGAGCAGGAGAAAAACTGATAGCTTGAGCTAACTGAGGACCACAATAGAGTAGAGTGGGTAAAAGGTGTACAAGTAGAGAACTTCAAGGCTCAGGATATGAAAAACCACTGAATGAAATCGCAACGAAGTGAAAAAGTTTGGCACAGATACAAGCAGAGTGGCAAAAGGAGAGGTTGCTGTGAGTCGTTAAGCCCAGTGTATTAGCCTCAGGGGACAGGCAGATGGGGGAGTAAAGGCTGATCATGTGTGCTCATTTGCTTCATGAGTTGGCACAGTAGGGAAGAGAAGAGGATGTGGGAGGAGAGTGAGGGTGGAAGACGAGAAAACATCAGGGCAAGTTTGAATGTCTTGATTCAGCTCTCCTATTATTACCTCTAACTAGGAGGTTATGTTTTCACCTGTGTCTGTTTGTTGGTTTGTTTGTTTGTCAGCCGGATTACACAAAAAGTATTGAACCGATTTGCACCAAACTTGGAAATGGGATGTGGCATGGGCCAAGGAAGAACCCATTATATTTTGGTGCAAATCTGGTTAAAAGGCCAGATCACTGTTCCTAATGCTGTGAGACAGGGCATTCTTTTACACTGTAATGAATTTCTCAGGAAATAATGTTTGGATCTTAATGTAAAAAAAAAATGCAGGCATATGTATGGTGTTGAGATCTATGACTTCAGATAATGCCTAATCTAGATCTGGCAGACATGTGTAGGATTGGTTGGCCTTGGCGGAGGTATGCGCTCTACTCAGTGCCATTTGAGTTGGTTTGTTTTTTTTAATTTGTCAGCAGGATTACACAAAAAGTGCTGAACAGACTTGCACCAAACTTGGTGGAGGGATGGGTCATGGGCCAGGGAAAACCCCATTCAATTTTGGTGCAGATCCGGATCTTTTACTTCATTCACTATGAATTTTATTTTTTTCTAAGAAGTCTGGTGTATGAAAAGTCAACAATGAAAAGGGATACAGCTTTTTTTTACAGTTGACAAGAAGTTCCGCATTGGTGGTCAGAGGAGTTGCTTGTGTAAATACAGCAGTCTGTTCCTCTGTTTGGTTCACTATCCTCCTCCAGACCAGGCTCCTCATTCAAATCTTCAGCAGGGCTGGTGGGGCAGGGGGGGGGGCAATTTGGAGGGGGTGTTTGGAGAAGGCAACCAGACGCCCTGCAGGACTTTTGGAACCACCTCCAACACCACCTCCTGTAGACTGAGCAGGTTGCTGTTGCTCTCTGTCAGGGTCCTGGCATAAAGTTTGCTTTAAAACCACGTCAACCACACCGAGACATCACAACCACTGCACTGTAACTGATAATAAGGCCTGATTCCAATCTGCCCCTAGACCCTCCCACTCTGTGACTAAGTGTAACTCTGTGTGGAGTGACACTTGCAGCTGTGTTTAAATACACCGGAAAGCTTTGGGCTGCCCTCACCTTTTACAGCGGAAACAGGAAATTCGTTGTTACCTAAAATATTTTGGAGGCTATTGTAATTCAGTAACTGAGTCTTATGAGACTCATCTTTAAATCTTAACCTTAAATCTTTAAAAACACAATTTAAACTATTATCTTCCTTTGGAAATTTTTTTTCATTGGTTCAGGTCTTCAGTTGCCTTGCACCTTTTCAAGGGAAGTTTGTTAGAACCTTTTTTCAAATTTTTTTTCGATTATTAAAAAAAAAACACATTTTCTAGATTGCGTCGTTAGGAGATTTGTTAATTTTCATGGACAAATTGTGTCTTTAACTTCCTCCAGACTCATTTATATGGACTGACTTTACTTACTATATGCTAAATTAGCATGCATGCACTTTTACATACTGTACATGAATAATAATTGTGTGTGTATCTGTGTATGCTTGTGTGTGTGTGTGTGTGTGTGTGTGTGTGTGTGTGTGTGTGGTTTAGAGTGTGAGGAAATTGATTATAAACTAAAGAGGAGCTGATTAGCACATGCCGACATTAACAGTGGAATCCATTACTGAAACCACACATGGTTGACCTTTGACACAGATGAGCCTTTGGGCTTATCAGTCAATATGTTGAATCGTTGACAGCTAACTATCGGCAGGAGTGTGTGTGTGTGTGTGTGGGGGGGGGGGGGGGGGTGGGGGGTGTTAGTCTTCTATATTGGATATTGTAGCATGTCTATTAATTATATTTTCATAGCTATGACTGTCAGTACTCCATACTTACCTGTTATGTTCAACCCAAGTAGCTGTCTCCCAACACGCTACTAGCTTATTTTTAACTGTAAGATGTTTGATTTAGTCTCCTACAGTCCAGGGGTGTGTGTATGTGCTGTCTCCAGTACAAGGGCAACCATACTGTCTTGGTGTGATGTTTGATCATTGCATCATCATTGCATTAGACCAAAGAATGATTATCTGATTGTCTTTCACCGCCCCTCCTTCCCTCTCACATTCTCTTCTAGTCTTCGGGCACCAGTGTGGTAGTGGACATCGCGGTGATGGGTGAGGCCCATGGTTTGATCTCAGACCTGCTGGCAGACCCCTCGCTGCCCCCTAACACCTGCAGCTCTCTGAAGGCCGTCAGCAACCTCCTCAGCACCCAGTTCAGCCTCCAGCCACTGCACCGGCCCCGCATCCCTGCAGACACACACACCTGCTCTGACTCTGAGGAGGGGCCCGAAAAAACAGAGAGACTCGCCATTCCAAAGGTAAAAGTTTGTCTTTCATTAGGTGTTTGAGATACTGTCCAGTGGCTGAATGTCAATTTGAAATTCCAAAGATTAAGGATGCAAACCGGAAATTCACCAGCTACTAGGAACAAGAACACAACAAAAACAAGAAAAAAAAAAGTTTATTCCAACATGTGTGCCATTGATTACATACCACTATTCAGAGTACTCCATCAAATTAGTACTGAACTCATATAACACCCAGTTTTACAGTTTTTGTTCTTTTTTTAACTGAAAGCATTTTTCTGCCTTTTCAAAACCTGGCGCTTATATTACCCAGAGTGCAACTCGACTGCTGACAGTTTAGTCAGAGATTTGGATGTGTTAAGCTAGCTGAGCCCAAAGCAGGTAGCCTCAAGCAGAGATGAGGAGCAGGCAACTGAAGTCTGGTAACCTCATTTCTTTCTAACTCTACAGCTCCAGATTTTTTTCATTTTTAAACTTGCAGTCTTCAGACCCAACCAGAGCAATTCATGAGACTTCACACAGCTCCCTCTGGAGCCCAAAAGGCTTTATACAACTTTTTTCATGTATACAGTAATACTCTCCAAGTCTGGTAAACAGACTTTGATGTGTGAAATCGGTGAAGTTCCCCTTTAAAGTTGAAGAATGTTTCCCAGTCGGAACCAAACATCACAACCAGTAAAGGAAAATATCTGTGAATGAGAGAAGTTAGATGTGTTGTGTTCATATAACCAGCTGTATCATTGTTACCTTTTGCTCTAGTCTCGTTGTATGCTGCAGGACATATACAAACACGTATGCCCAGGTATACTTCATCCTGCATACATCACCCCCATTTCTTCCCTCACCCCTGGCGTAGTGTGGGGCTCTAATGTGGCTAACAATGACGCACAGGCTTCCAGGGGGCTTTTTAATGTTTTACAAGACTGGTGCTTCAAAATGTATGCAGGCACTTAAGGCTGTAAGGAAACTAAATAAAGCGTGTGATGCAATGCAGGGTAGCCTACCAGGAAAGTGACTAGCAGCTTTAACGCTGCCTGAGTGCACTCAAATGCTCGCCCCATGTAGTGGAACTCGGTGAGATGCTGCCTCATTTCAGCTCATTGGGGATTTGTGAGTCTGCATGTGGCAATGGGTTAAAGTTGGTGATTCAGCTGACTTGTGCTGCCCTGTTGTACGGCTCTGAAGTAAGGACAGAAATAGCAGTTACATAAAGGTAGTCAGAAATGTTGGTGACCTGGGGCCATTTTTTACTCAGGTTTTTGACTTAGCTCAACAGGACAGCACAACACTTTGTTTCATTTCTTGTTAAAACCCCAGAACAATTTGTAACTTTTGCTTGTGGTTCCTGTAAGCAGAACGTCTTTTGGCTTTCATGTGTCTTTTCCCATTGTTCAACTCCAGCAGCGCTATTTGTCTAGTTTATAGCAGCTTCCAAACCTATTTATAGATTTATATTATTCCATATCACTACCACACATTTTCCATAGAACACTATAGTGTTATAAGATTTCGCTATAGTACAGCAATGCAGTAACAGAGACTTAATGAAAGATCACATGTAGCAATCCATCATAGTGAGTATCATGACTACTTTTATTTTTTTGTCAGCCACATTATTGTTGCATAATAATGTAGAGCAGAGTGTTTCAGACCTGCAATTAAACTATATTACCAACAATAATAAAATTCACAGTAGCAAAAGCAGACACGATGTTCAGAGTGGTTGATTAACAGCATGTGCCCTTTCTCTCTGTCCTCCTATGTCACTCTTTCACACACTATTAGAGGTCTTTGATTAGATTTTTCCTTCACTGTAGGAGAGAAGTAAACCACAAAGGAATGTGAGGTCATGTGTGTGTATCTGTGCATTTGGATGTCAGTGATGCTTGTTTGTGTAGTTGTCTGCCTAAGAAGTGGATAGATAAAGAGAGATTAACATTTTTTTTATTTCTGTAGTTTATGAAATTTGAACCTCTGCTGCCCTCTGTATTCTTCTCTCACCATGTGATCTGTGTGTGTGTTTGTGTGCTTTTTTTGACAGAGAGAGATAGAGAGAGAGAGAGAGAGAGAGAGAGAGAGAGGGAGAGAGAATTTTAGAAAAACATACCAACTGTACAAAGATACAAGCTGACAAATAACTGAATTTAGCCCATGGCTTTACAACAAAGTTTACAACATTGGATAGATTGACACCACAGGGAAAATAGACATGTCTCCTTTCCACTCACCATTCTGTCTTCCATATGCTTATGAAAAAAACAGGAATGAGCTGGAAGAAAAAATATGGCATCTTTCTAGTTTGATGTCTGTACTTTTTTGATGGAGGAGAAAAGGAGGCACAACAGTTGCTCTAGAAAGATAGCTCTATTTGTTATTTTAAACATAGGCCTAAGGCTGAAATGTCTAATAAACAGAGCTACAGCCTACTGGGACATGACATTGTAATATTTGGAAATCATTAAAATGATATTTTTTCAGATTATCAAAAGTTGTGATTATTAAATGTCAGTGGATATGGAGAAATTGGGCAAAAGTGAAAAGACTTTTCTTGTCTCATCCACGTCTGTGAAAGTTCTGTGAATGTGTTTACATGCCTTTTGTGTATCTGCATTACAGCGTCTAAGGCGGAGTCTGCCCCCGGGGTTGCTGAGGAGAATCTCATCAACGTGGACCACAACCACCTCAGCTACAGGGCTGCCCACCATCGAGCCGGGCCCTGTACGCCGAGACCGCTCAGCCAGCATCAAACACACCACAGACAGGTCATTCACTGACTGACTCACACACTCACTGGAACCAAGAGGAACAAAATAAGATTGAGTTGTAACAAATCAAGATGATGTTATAGGGTTGCTGTAACTTATTTATCTGACTGTTTTCTTACATCAAACCAGTGAATCATGGAACAACTCAGTGATGATGACCATCTCAAAGAGCCGCTCCATGTCTGCCTCCTGCGCTGCCTCTGTCACCTCCAACCATCTCTACAGCAAACCACTGGGAAGACCAGGTGTGTGTGTACAAACCTACTTCACACACTGAGTAACAGTTGAGTATACTGAGTAAGGTATGAGAGGTCTTTGTTTACATCACTTTTTTTTTTTAAATTGAAAACAATCTTTTTCAGGTTTCCCCCCCTCCAACGTATCACCTCTGGGCTCTCCGTGCCCATCTCCTCCCGTCCAGGGCACTCCTGTCTCCAGCCCTACGATAAAGACATGTTCAGTGCAGCTTCCTGAGACGACTGGGCCACTAACAGAGCGAGATCCTGGCTCTGTGGCCCCGAAGAGCCATCACAGAGCCTTAACTCATAGCCAGAGCGCCCCAAGCTCCACCACCCCTCATTGGCGGCCTCCATCACTCTGCGGCAGGTAACATGCATCCAATCACACATCAGATTACATCTTAAAGATCAAATTCACTAATACTGGAATACGGCTTTGAAAACATCTGTGCCTATACAGTATATGTGTATGAGTGTACATTTGTGTGGAAATAAGTCACTTGATTAGTCTTTACTGAGAGGACAGGAGCTGTTTCAATAAGCAGACTAGAGAGAATGAACAGGATGGACCAGAGTTTGTTCTTTGAACGTGTCAGTGTTTCTCTGCTCTGTTTCTCTCAGCTGTGGCCGGCCGTTCAACAATCGACTAAACCATGGGGTAGAATCTGTCGACAAAGGAGACAGAATACCCCATCCAGGTAAACAGCAGAGTACAACCTGCAAGCTCTTGGCTTATGTTCAGTATTACACATACCTGTCCACTTCAGCTGGAAAACATGATAATAATAAGCATAAACCCAGTCACCTTGAAGGTTTAAAATTGCCTGTTCGTTCGGTTTTGCCTGTAAAACCAGTTATGAAGTTGAAGTTTCTAGTTCAACAGACACATCTGTAAATCTTAATTAAGAAAACAATATGTTGTACAACCATATTCTCCCAGTTTATAATTTGATTCACTCATACTGACCTTCTCCACACTTGTCCTCATTGTATTTTTAAATAATAACCAAGATAGTTAAATTAAAGTGAATATTTGTAAAATGTAAAATGTAAATGTTCCCCCCAGATGAGCGCGCAGTGGCTTCATCAGACTATGACAGCACCTATGACAGCACCTATGAGACCAACCACAGTGACAGCAGCGACTTTGCACAGAATGAAGAGGAGGGAGAAGTAAGCAAAAAGCCACCTGAAGCAAGGGAAGGGTGCAGGGAGTATCCAGCAGAAGGCATTCTTCTTCACCCTCTGCTGCCATCACCAGAGGTAGGCGATCAAAAAGGTTTCATTTGGCATTAAGAAAACAAGTCTCGGTTATCTATAGTGAGCTTTAAAATATCCTTCAAGATTCCTCCAAAAAACAAAAAATAAAGATAATGGATTTCTGCACAAGGAAGATGCATTTCTTTCTCCATAAGAGCAAATGAGGAGTTTCAACAATTGAATTTTCACAATGATGTAACCTTTACTTACTGTCACCGCTCCTCTGTCCTCCCCAAACCTTACCTGTCAGGATAAACCAATCTTGGCCCTGGAGGCTCTAGTGATGCCAGGCCTGGAGCCTGTGATGAGTCAACTCAACAACTGGAATTTTCCGATTTTCAGTCTAGTGGAGAAGACTGACGGCAAAACAGGCTGCATCCTCAGTCAGGTAAACACTACTTAGTGAGGCTCAAGGGCATAGGTTTAGTCTCAACATTGCAAGGCCCCAACAAACCCGCCACCACTCCAAAACAAGGAGACTGACTATGTAATGTCATCAACCAAATGGTTTATTAACATATCAGATCTGAATTTACATTCAGGAATACCCATACACAAATGTAATATACAGTATGTCCATGTGTTGAATGTCCATATATGAAATATATGTACATATGAAGTAAAATCATATCTGCATTTAAAGTATAGCCTACATATATGTAAAAATTACAAAAAAAAATTACAAAAATTAAACCTGTTAGAAATTGGAACAATATCATGAATATCAAGAAGAGTCACCATTAACCTATCGACATGTCTTTGCACTATGGGAGGAAGCCGTAGTACACGGAGGGAACCCACTAAGAGGGAGAGCATGCAAACTCCACATAGAAAGGGCCCAAACTGGAATTCAAACACATGGTCTTCACACTGTGAGGTGGCAGTTCTAACCACTGTACTACCCTACCCTGCCTCCCTATTAAAAAGACATATTATAGTAAGGCATGAAAACATCACAGTATAGTGAGGCATAAAAACGTAAAAGTAAAAAGTATTTTTATGCCTTACTATACTATGACGTTTTTTTGACATTTTTTGCCTTACTTATACTATGACATTTTTTGACAATTTTTGCCTTACTATATTATGATGTCTTTATGCCTTACTATACTATGACATTTTTTTTTGCCTTAATATACTATAACGTTTTTTGACACATTTTGCCTTACTATACTGTATCTCTCTCTCAAATTAAATCGAAGGCAACTGGACTTGTATTTGTCTGTGGAAGACGTTTCGCCTCTTATCCAAGCGGCTTCATCAGTTCTTATGTATTGGTCTCTCTAGTCCGCACTAGTCTGACCAGACTAGTGCGGACTAGAGAGACCAATACAAATACAAGTCCAGTTGCCTTCGATTTAATTTGAGAGAGAGATAAGAATGACCTGGATGAATGAGAACATTCACAGACAGATTACTATACTGTAACGTTTTTTGATATTTTTTACCTTACTATACTATGATGTTTTTTTTAACATTGTAATGTTTTACTATACTATGATGTTTTTTGAAATTTTCTGCCTTTCTATACTATGATGTTTTTATGCCATACTATACTATGATGTTTTTTGACGTTTTTATGCCTTACTATATGATTGCATTTTATGGCTGTATATGCTATGATGTCTTTTAATGTCTAATGACCTTTTTTGACATTTTTATGCCATCCAATAAAATGATGTTTTTTGTCATTTTTATGCCTTACTATACTATGTAGGTTCATGCCTTGTCATACTATGACGTTTTTATGACCTTTTATGCCTTAATATATTACGATGTTTTTTTTTATTTTTTGCCATACTATACTATGACCTTTTTTGACATTTTTATGCCATCCTATAAAATGATGTTTTTTGGCATACTATACTATGTAGGTTCATGCCTTGCCATATTATGACGTTTTTATGACCTTTTATGCCTTAATATTTTATGATGTTTTTTTAAATTTTTTGCCATACTATACTATGACATTTTTTGCCACATTTTGCCTAACTGTACTGTGACCTTTTATGCCTTAATATGTTACGATGTTTTTAAAAAATGTTTTACCATACTATACTATGACATTTTTTGCCTAACTGTACTGTGACGTTTTATGCCTTACTATACTATCATGTTTTTGAGATTTTTATGCCTTACTATACGATCACAGTTTTATGGCTGTATATGCTATGACATCTTTAAAGTTCACTATCATGACAACCCATGTTAAGCTGGCATGGTAGTAGAGTGGTTAGACCTGTTACCTTTCATTGTATAGGTTGTCGGTTTGAATCTAAATTGGCACCAATGTGTGCATAGATTGCATGACATCTCAGTCTATTATGGTTAACTTACCAGTACTTTGATACTTTGACGTCTTTATGACATCCTCTATCATGATGATTTTTTGAATTTTTTGCCATACTATACTATGAATTTTTTTGACATTTTTATGCCATCCTATAAAATGATGTTTTTTGGCATACTGTACTATGTAGTTTCATGCCTTGCCATACTATGACATTTTTAGGACATTTTATGCTTTAATATATTGTGATGTGTTTTTGAATTTTTTGCCATACTATACTATGACCTTTTTTGGCTTTTTTATGCCTTTCTATACTATGTAATTTCATACCTTGCCATACTGTAACTTTTTTTTGACTTTGTATGCCATTATATATTACGAAGTTTTTAAAAATTTTTTACCATACTACACTATGACATTTTTTGCCACTTTTTGCCTGACTGTACTGTGATGTTTTATGCCTTACTATACTATGACGTTTTTGAGGATTTTATGCCTTACTATTTGATCACGTTTTATGGCTATGTATAGTATGATGTCTTTAAAGTTCACTATTATGACAGCAGCTGCTAAGCTGGCATGGTACTAGAGTGGTTAGAATTGTTACCTCATTCATTCATTCCATAGTCTGTGGGTTTGAATCTAGGTTGACACCATTTTGTGCATAGTTTGCATGACATCTCAGTCTATTGTGGTTACCTTACCATTACTGTGATACTTTAATGTCTTTCTGCGTCACTATACTATGTAGGTTAATGTCTTGCCATACTATGACGTTTTTATGACCTTATATGCATTAATATATTATGATGTTTTTTTTAATTTTTTGCAATACTATACTGTGACCTTTTTTGACATTTTTATGCCATCCTATTATATGATGTTTTTTGGCATTTTTATGTCTCACTATACTATGTAGTTTCATGCAGGATTTTACAGGATGGCATAAAAATGTCAAAAAAGGTCATAGTATAGTATGGCAAAAAAATTCAAAAAAACATCATAATATATTAAGGCATGAAAGGTCATAAAAACGTCATAGTATGGCAAGGCATTGATCTCCATAGTACAGAAAGGCATAAAAATGCTAAAAATATCATTTCATAGGATGGCATGAAAATGTAAAAAAAGGTCATTGTATAGTATGGCAAAAAATTCAAAAAAACATCATGATATATTGAGGCATAAAAGGTCATAAAAACGTCATAGTATGGCAAGGCATGGAACTACATAGTTTAGTGAGGCATAAAAATGCCAAAAAACATCATTTTGTATGGCAAAAAATTAAAAACAACATCATGATACAGGATGTCATGAAGACGTCAAAGTATCACAGTACTGGCAAGGTAACCATAACAGACTGAGATGTCATGCAATGTATGCACACATTGGTGTCAACTTAGATTCGAACCCACAACCTATGGAATGAAAGGTAACAGGTCTAACCACTCGACTACAATGCCAACTTAACATTTGTTGTCATGATAGTGAAGTTTAAAGACGTCATAGCATATACAGCCATAAAACGTGATCGTATATAGGGCATAAAAACCTCAAAGAAGTGATAGTATAGTAAGGCATAAAACATCACAATACAGTTAGGCAAAAAGTGGCAAAAAATGTCATAGTATAGTATGGCAAGACATAAAATAAAAAACCTAATATATTAAAGTATAAAATGTCTTAAAAACGTCATAGTATGGCAAGGTATTAACCTACATAGTATAGTATGCCAAAAAACATCATTTTATAAGATGGCATGAAAATGTCAAAAAAGGTCACAGTATAGTATGGCAAAAAATTCAAAAAAACATCACAATATATTAAGGCATAAAAGGTCATAAAAACGTCATAGTATGGCAAGGCATGGAACTACATAGTTTAGTGACGCATAAAAATGCCAAAAAACATCATTTTATAGGATGGCATAAAAATGTCAAAAAACATCATAGTATCGTATTGTATCGTCGTCTCCCGCTTATCCGGATCCAGGTCGTGGGGGCAGCAGTCTCAACAGAGAGGTCCAGACGGCCCTCTCCCCAGCCACTTCCATCAGTTCCATCATAGTATAGTATGGCAAAAAATTTAAAAAACCATCATAATATTTTAAGGCACAAAAGGTCATAAAAACGTCATAGTATGGCAAGGCATTGACCTATATAGTATAGTATGCCAAAAAACATCATTTTATAGGATGGCTTAAAAATGTCAAAAAGGTCATAGTATAGTATGGCAAAACGTTAACCTACATAGTACAGAAAGGCATAAAAATGGATGGCATAAAAATGTCAAATTAGGTCATGGTATAGTATGGCAAAACGTTAACCTACATAGTACAGAAAGGCATAAAAATGGATGGCATAAAAATGTCAAATTAGGTCATGGTATAGTATGGCAAAACGTTAACCTACATAGTACAGAAAGGCATAAAAATGGATGGCATAAAAATGTCAAATTAGGTCATGGTATAGTATGGCAAAACGTTAACCTACATAGTACAGAAAGGCATAAAAATGGATGGCATAAAAATGTCAAATTAGGTCATGGTATAGTATGGCAAAACGTTAACCTACATAGTACAGAAAGGCATAAAAATGGATGGCATAAAAATGTCAAATTAGGTCATGGTATAGTATGGCAAAACGTTAACCTACATAGTACAGAAAGGCATAAAAATGGATGGCATAAAAATGTCAAATTAGGTCATGGTATAGTATGGCAAAACGTTAACCTACATAGTACAGAAAGGCATAAAAATGGATGGCATAAAAATGTCAAATTAGGTCATGGTATAGTATGGCAAAACGTTAACCTACATAGTACAGAAAGGCATAAAAATGGATGGCATAAAAATGTCAAATTAGGTCATGGTATAGTATGGCAAAACGTTAACCTACATAGTACAGAAAGGCATAAAAATGGATGGCATAAAAATGTCAAATTAGGTCATGGTATAGTATGGCAAAACGTTAACCTACATAGTACAGAAAGGCATAAAAATGGATGGCATAAAAATGTCAAATTAGGTCATGGTATAGTATGGCAAAACGTTAACCTACATAGTACAGAAAGGCATAAAAATGGATGGCATAAAAATG